TGACCGGAATAAACATAATTAACAAAACCATTCTATATCGGTTTATGCTTTTTAATTCTCTTTTACTTAAATGAGACTATATAGATCCGGATAGTATTCTTCTCTTACTGTTTACTTGAGAATGCATTCCAGTTCTGATGATGTCCATCATATGATGGATGATAGCTCAGCCTGTTTTCAACCGAAACGATGGAGGAGGTCTCGTGCACTGCGTCAATCTTAACGTCGTATAAAAGCCAAACGGCTTCAATACAATGGGATTCATCCGTTCTCTTCTGGTGAGATCGACCTTTTCTTTTTCATACACTTTCATACGAAATGACGATACAGCTCTAAAATTCAATAATGGAGTGCTCCAATAACTCATTGGCTACTGGTTCTATCTGGTCGAAAATTCCTTCAACACGAAGACGTTGGATGGGCTTACTGATTAAAATATTTCAATTTCGTAAACGATTTATAGCCTCGATCAACGAAGCTAATTATTGCCTTGTCATAAATTGATCTTGACTTTTCTCTGGCCTTCATTCACCTGTCTCCTTATTTCATATCATCTTACCAAGTTTTCTAGTGAATTTATTTTCACGAATGTTCGGTATTTATGTACATGTACATTGGCACTTTACTTGAAGCCCTGGACCTCGGGATCGAAGCCATCTGGATCGGACTGCTGCCATACTTGATGCCGATTCGATGCTGACGCCGGCTGGTCAGGGGCGTTCGGGCTATAAAGGCAATAGCACCTGGCGCGGAGCTCGTGGAGGTGCATCGCGTGGCCGTCAAACCGGCGCTGTTGGTCTCAATGGGAGGTCATCAGTCACTTTGGCCGAACTCGGCGCTGCCGAGGCGGCTGATGCGACTGTAGTCATTACAAACCGGCGCAGCTCCGCCGGCTCCAGGGCCCAGATTAGCGGCGAATGTGGCGATACAACTGCCGGTACCACGCCTTTGAACAGCTTACCTCAGGGAGACTCATCCCGGCTCGAGACGCAAGCCAATCGAACTCATCAGAGACAGCGTCGAAGGCAAACATCAGGCCGATCAATTAGTGTCGGACAATCACCTGGTGACGATGGCCAAGGTGCAAGCGCTCAAGGCCACAGTGATTGTCGTCAGTCTCGAGTGGTCCCTATGGAGGCCGCGACGTCATCAGAGTGTTCAGGACATGGTCAGATTATTGCAGGAAACTCACCGGCATCCTCTGCCCCGATGTCAGCAGAGTCCACAATCTCTTTGGAGGTACCTCTTCAGTCTGCAAACACATCATCCCTCGTGATGCCTGCTCGGCCCAAGTCTAAGACGGGCCGGCAAACTGGCGGCGGTGGCAGCAGGAAGAATGGTGGTAGTCGTGACTCATCCGCTATAGACGGGACTGTCGCACCGACCCTTGCCACTATTGGTGCCACTTCGACTGCGGACACCACCGTCTCACCCTGTTGAGGCATTTTTGTGTGTTGTCCTTGTGTTGAATTTGACTCGTGGCGATTTAATAGGCAATATTCACGCCTGTGCAAGTGCCGGAGACTCCGGGCTTATTAATTTATCTCTGGCCGTTATTTCTATACAATTTCTTATAATTGTCCTCACTGCTCTTTCCCTATCACAATCAACTCTTTTGTATCCCATAGTTAAACTCAATACCTCCCGCATATCGGGAGGTATGCTTGTCCCGATGCTCTATGATTTCCATCCTTTCTCTACTTATATATCCATTTTTTATTATTGAACTTTTTCCTATTATTTTTCCCACTATTTCTTTTTTTAACTCTGCTCTTCTTGGGATTATTTGCCCTACTCGGTGTGTTTTATTCAAATCATATCCTATGCCATTTATTACTCAACGATCGGGATAAACAGTAGTTCGGATACCTTCATCAGACCTAAGTTCCCTATTTTCCTTGGATGTATAATCTATATTCCCTCTACCTCCTCCCACAATTCGTCCTTATCTTCTTGTCCCCTATACTTTCTAGGCCTTGAATTTGTAGAGCACGAGCAGCTTCGAAATACAGCCTGGCGGAAAACCATGCAGCTGTCAAAATGGGAAAAAATATTGAAGACCACACTTTTTGCCTCTTGTGTCGCCACACCTGTTTCCTTCCTTTACCCACTAGTTTCTTTGCTATTTGCCTTTGAATGTTATGACTGTGGGTTTTTGTTCATCGCCTATTTTGGCCTAATTTAACGAATATTAGCCAAGAACGTATACAAATTAGTTCTCATTTATATGCAGTTATGATTAGCCTCAGTTATTATTCGTATGCACGCATAACAGCTTATACCCTTTTAATCTGCGTTCCACAGTTATGAACATCACATCGACTCTAATCACTATCTTTAGCTCTAACTTCTTTATCCTTTTGTATTCGATTGCACCTTCCTCACTTTTTCAATTCACTCAAATGCAAATGATTGCCCACTAGACAACCACACTTATTTCTGCTTCAGTATTGCAAAGCGGTTGGGCCCCCTGGGCTGATTGTAGGGCATTCCGGCGCGATGACTATTTTTATTTACAGGCCCTTTATCTCTTTATGTTTCATTAGTTCGCCTTGTTTTGCAGGCTTTGGTCCATTGGTCATTATCATTATACTATTTTATAACTATCATCTGCATGTTTTTTAAAGACCTCCATATTGTTTTTTTCATTTTAAATAAATTACTCACCAAGATCAAGTTGGGATTCATTAATTTTATTTCGCTGCTGTCTTATCTCGGTCCCATTTACTTTCTTATTTCTTCATCTGTTTTTTTCATCCGTCCACCACTTTTTGTCTTCATTAGTGCCATAATGCCTTCCTTTTCCTCTGACTCTGCACCACCATGCAGCAAGGATCAACGATCTGCGAGTATTTGTGAATGTACAGCTGATCGATATCACGTGTTGAAGGTGTCGGCATTTTCTTTTTTTACCCATTGCTCTTTCTCCCTAACCCAAATGCGCTCACACTGCAGAGCCGTTTCCTCTGTGTGATATGAAATTCGAATTCAGATCATTCACTCGCGTTCTTTTTTCCAACATTTAATTGCTAGTTATCTCGCTTTTGCATTAAATCTATATTTTGGAGTTTGTTTACAATGCTGTTTGTTGGCCTCTGGGACATGCTTGGTGAGCTCGGTCTTTTTTAGTCTGGTCGGCTAGACTAGGTTTTAGTTAAATAAGTACCTTGTATATACTGCCATATTATCCGGTTATTCGGTGGCAGCGTCTTGGCTGATCTCTAATCTTTGATGCTATTTCACTTTTTATTTCGTAGCAAAAGTTGGTTGGATGGGATTCATGTATTGGCCTCATCGGAAACTGGCCCACCGTATTGCAAGCTTTTGCTTGTTATGTGACAGTTATGATGAAAGCGAGAAATCATCATCTAGGAAAAAAAGCACCAATACGTAAACAATGCTTGTTTTGTTGAATGTATTGGCTTAAAATTGCTGAGCTCACTTCAATTTTGAGTGAGAATGTGCACTGAACAGGTTTGAAGGCAGATTTCATTAGAGGACGACGGCGGATTCCCCTTGCCCAGCTGTCGTAAAGCCTTACTGCAACGTGGTTCGCGCTTTCTCCGAGGCATTTACACTCGGTTCCGGGGAAATGTGCTGAGCATTTGTCGCATGCTGGACGTCTTCAGTGCAGCGACATTCTTAGAACTAATTCAAGCTAAAGAGTCACGAAGATTCACCGGCTTATCTCTACATCTTGTGCAATAGTCTAGTTGCGAGGACTTTTACCTCGTGGATTGGTTCGTGCATCGATTTCGCCAGGATACCGCTTACTTTCTTTTGTCATGCAGTCGTTTGATTTTGTTACTAAATTCGCGTTGATGCAGTCCCTCTTTTTGGGTGAAGACTGGCTGAGCTCTCTTTCGTAATATCACTGACATATCATCATTCTTCCTTGCAGAGGCTTGAGGCTGAAACATTGGCAATGCTATGCTCACAGATAAAAACGATAGATACATAATGATTTGCTTGGTTCTTTTTTATATTAATATAGTCATTTTCGAAAAAGTAGTTCTCATTACTGTCTGTAATTCTTACTTAAGAGTGGGCACGAAGAGTGATTGGGTTTCTATTACTCTTATCATAACATAACTGGGGAAACTTTCATTTCGTATGAAAGTGGAAGCAGTAGAGCTTCCAAGATCGATCTGACCGGCAGACGACGGCTGATTCCCGTTGCACTGCAACCGCTTGGCTTTAATATAACCTTAAAGTTGACGTAATTCACGAGACATCCCCACACACCTCGGACAAAAATGAACTGACCTCTTTATTATCATCAGAGTTGGAGCCCATTCTTGCAAAAGCCTCAAATCAACACGAGGTCAACAATAATGTCCTGATCTCATAACTAAAAGCAAAAATGTAGTCATAGATATATAATGAATTGGCTAATTCCCTTTCATATTGGTAATGGTATTTTCACCTGAGTGCATGTGTCTGTGTTACCTTCTATACACAATATCGGTCCTAAGTCAGTGATGAAAAAGCCTAATGTCTGGCTCGGATCATCAGGGCTTAATGCCTTAAAAAACCTTGGTCGAGTCTACTTAATTCCGTAAGCAACTCCTGTTGGGATATGGAAATGCAAATTAGTGATGAGGGATCCATCTGGGGCACTCAAAACTTGTATGAAGGATTCCCTTAGGGTGTGCGTAATGGTGAAATGGAGAAGGGCCTTCACAACATTATATTCCTAAGGTACACAAGCAAGGTGCCTCTTAGATTAATTGTAAATAATAAAGCAAGCCTGATGCTTAAAATCTCACGTTTTTATACATGCAATACATGAAAGCTGGTGACTTGGTTATCTTAAGTCGGAAATTCCTTGTTTGTAAAATTGGTAGATTGGTCAATCAGAGAAAGATGTATTAGTAGGCTCTGTCGGCAGATATTCCTGTTGTAGGAGCCATTCAGACTAGTGCAATTTTTGGAGCAGTCTTGAGATTGCACAGAGAATAAGGCTGAATATTTCGTTCTCAGATAGACTTACTAACTTATTTGCCAATATCTTCTATGAACAGACACAAGAGTCTGCTGTTGGATCTTGCTTAGCTTCCATTTTTGCGAACACGTGGTCAAACTTGAAAAACATTTTTTGGAAGACGCAATACTAATCCTCAAATTGTTGGTTTGGATGTATGGGTGACTACTTTGTCATCCTGCTTAACGGAAAAGAAAGATTAGATCGTAACATTAGGTTCACAATGCAAGTAGGTCTAGCTTTTTTAAATGTTCTTGCTATCAGAGAGGAGGGTAAGTTATGAAGCGATGCTTATAGGAAACCAACGTGTTGGCTCTTAAGAATTTTATTTCCAACCGAGGTTGGAATCTTGGCACCAATGATTATCGAGACTGCGAAACTAGTGAGTAAGAACTGAAAAATGTATTTGTGGGAAAAATTTCTCATTTGTGCCTAATCGAGCACGAATACATTTTAAGATGGATACCTTTTGGTCAAAGCTAGACAAGA